AGCTGGGCGTCGTTATTGGCAAAGATGGACGTGATATTCCTGCGTCAAAAGCTTTTGATTATATTTCTGGTATGATATAAATTATTATTAATATATAAATTATATTGATTCTCCCAATCGGAAGAAAAGTGTCGAATCCTTTTGCTGTTGTCCATGGATATCCTTTTTCTTTGCTGATTGCTTCAGAAAAAATAGTCTCAGTGTAATCATTTTCTTTAATAAGTCTGAATTAAATTTGGCTCATACTTGGAGATTATGAGCTGTCAAATCAATGCCAAGCGCGTAACCTATTTTTTACTATTAGTTATTATTAATATTAGCGAGCCGAGAGAGTTGATTGAATTTATCATACCAAGAGATTTACATGATATTTCTTTCCCATTGAAACATTAATCGAGCACGTTAATTCGTTTGAAGCAGGCGATTTACTTTTAACCGGTAAATTCTACAATATTGGCTCTGTGAAAATTACTATTAATATCTATAATATTTCCTCTATGATGAATTTAGGTACTCCTGAAGGAGTAGGACCTGTGAATCCAGGACAGATTATCATGGCAGGACTGAATGTAAATGGAAAAAATCTTTCTAAAATCAAGTTTCCCACGGTTGTAAGAACTGGACTATTTATTGCAAATAATTTATAATTTTATTATAATGATATATTTAAAAATTCTAAGATTATTGATTTTATTATAATAATGTATTAAAAGTAATATATTAGAAAATCAAATCTATTAATAAATATAGTAAATATTAAAAATTTATTAAAATTTATAATTTATAGTTTATATATTTTTTCAGATTTTTTTTCTAATTTTATTAAATTATAAATTATGAAAATATTTCTTAAGAAAGATTTTAATTTTATTAATAAATTTTCTGATATATTATTTTTAATAATTATTTATTATTTTTTTTAAGTTTTAAATTATTATATAATAGTTCTAATAATTGATTTTTTAATTTTTAGAATTGAAAATTAAACAAAATCAAATTATTTGAAATTAATTCTTGATTAAAACTAAATTAGAGTCAAATTAAACTGAATTGATTTCAAATAGTTCTTTTAATTCAAAATTAAATCAAAACTAAACTAAAATAAATTATTAAATTTAATTTTTCAAATAGCTAGTTAAAATAAGATTAGTAATAATTATAAGTATTATAAATATATTTTTTTATAATATTTAATATGAGATATATATTATAATTTTATTTTATATTTTCATAATAATAAAATAATATAATATATTAAATATATTATTATTATTTTTAATATAATTAATTCTTTATTATGAGTTGATGCAAAAGAATTTATATCTTAGATAAACATTAATAGATTATTTTTTCAAAATAAAATTTTAAATTTTAATTCTGTCTTATTTAATTAAGTTATTAAATATTAGAATTTATTTAAATATAAAAATTTTTATTAGGAATAATATTATTAAATATAATATTAGAAAATATAAGAATAAACAAGGCCAGAAGAGTTATTTACTATTGACAATTTACCAGAAACAACACCAACCCCGAAGAAGTAATATGGTTTGATTCTAGGATAATGTTTTCATTTTGCAATAACGATAAGTAATATGTAATGCAATTGCACCTGTAAATTCTAGAATCTTAAAGTTTCATCTTCGCAAAAATAATAATTGATTTATATGGTGTAATGTGCATGTGCGAATCTCAAGTCCCAAAAAATAAAATTGACTATTGGATGTGACTAGTCTTGGTGCACTATTTGTATTCCGCAAAATACGGTATGCGATTAAAATCACTAGGCAAGAGAAACGCAATGATAATGAACTTTAAAAAATCCGTAAACTCGTCAAGTGAGAATTATTCACCTTGAAACTTTTTACGTTAAACGAATTACACGAATTACTCAAATTTGGGCAATGGAGTATCACATTCCTCATCAAGTTTAATAAATTCCCTCGACCATTTTTGCATTAACGTGGTGTATTTAGTTATTACCTCTCGTTTTCTCTCGACTTCTTGCTCAAGACACGCAATTTCCTATAAAAGACAAAAAATAAATACTACATCTTATAAAGATTCTAAGGATCCTTCGTTATTACGTACATCTTTTAATGCACGCTCATCTTTATTTCTCTCATGATAAACTATCCTCTCGAGCTTTATTTGTAATTGCTTTGCTATTTGAAAATAATTGTGCATCTGGAGTTCGATAGCTTTTTGTCGTTGTGTAGAAATTTTTGTAATAAAAACCAATTTATGATTAGAAAACTTTATAAAAAAATACCATTATACTTTAGCTTCTTATCATGTTCTAACAATAAAGTTAACCTTGTGAAGGTTGTTCTTGGTCTTCTTCAAGGTAACGATGTAACTGAAGGTCAATCATCCGCTCGTTATCATCTTCGACACTTTCAGAAATTTCATTTGTCGGGATTTTGGGTATAATTTTATCCATACAAATATTCATAGCTTTCCCAAGCTCGGCTGAAAGTTCTTGCAAAGAACTCATGTTTAGTGAGACAATTGATAAAATGTGATCTGTTGATCGTATCTTTGGAATCTTTTTTCATAACGATGATGGCGAATAGACGACACAAAGGAATCAGAATAAGTATCGATAGGGGTGGAACATTTACTGACTGTTATGGAAGCATTCCCGTTCCCGTTTCTGAACAATATCCAAATGGAAGGCGTGAGGTTGTTATAAAGTTGTTGAGTGTAGACCCTCAGAATTACCCCGACGCGCCACGGGAAGGTATCAGAAGAATATTGGAACATGTAACAGGGAAACCTCACCCCAGAAACCAACCCGTTGATACTTCACAAATAGGTAATAGAATATAGAAAATTTTATCCAACAAATATCATATAGTTAATTGTATAAACCATGTTAATGTCAAAATGATCTCTACAGAATCTATTCGTATGGGTACTACAGTTGCCACTAATGCGCTTTTAGAAAGAAAAGGCGAACCTTGTGCTCTTTTGATCACTAAAGGTTTTAAGGCACGCTATCTATTTTCTTCAAAGTACGTATATCTCAGAAAATAGGCTACCTCTGCTTTTCAGCCCAAAATCGGCTGCAAAAAGTATTAACCCCACAAATAAATTATCCCTCTCTTCGACCTCCAAAAATTGTGCAGAAAAAAAGGTAGCTTATTTTCTGGGATATACGGTATTAAAATGTGATTAAATTTTTTTTACATTCAATTTCAATTTTTCGATTAGGATCTTCTTGTAATTGGTAAGTTCTTTCTCGTTTTGTAAATAAAAAAGAACAATAAAAATGCTTAATTTTTTAGAATAATTTTTAGGAAACCAATCGCGTCCAAAAATTTTCGATCTTTCAATCCGAAAACTTGAAGTTTTATATCATAAGGTTATTGAGGTCGACGAACGGTAAATAATAATGCCATGATTAAAAGTAATTGGTTGATTTGTGTTAATTTTCTTCGAAAATTCGAAAATTACAATTAAATGAACAGCGTCGTATTGATTGGAGATGCTTCACATCCTTCAAATGAATTCCATAATCACAATTCCTTGGGAATTCTGCGGGGTATTTCGGGCGAATATGTTAGCATTATTAAAAAACCAGGTGAAATAAAGTTGCACTTTTTATGCTTGATTAATAAACCCAGAATTAATCTTTTCTTGCTTATATTATCTTAAAGATTTGGACGTCATCAGACGTGACTTAGAAACTCTGTATGCAGAAGGAATTAGAAGTGTTGCAATATGTTTAATGCACTCTTATACTTATTCAGGTTGCATCTTTCTACAAAATTGATGTTAACTTTTCATATTTTGTTGATAAAACTAACTCGGTTAATATTATAGAACATGAACGGTTGATTGGGCAAGTCGCGTCTGAAATTGGTTTCACTCATGTATCACTCTCTTCCACCATAATGCCAATGATTAAAATAGTCCCACGTGGAACCTCGTCAACCGCAGACGCATATTTGACTCCTTGTATCAAAAAATATATTGAGGGTTTTATCTCAGGTTTTGACGAGAATTTATTCGAAAACGCGAGATTAGAGTTTATGCAAAGCGATGGTGGTCTCGTGCCGGTTAATAAATTTTCAGGGTTTAGAGCAATATTATCGGGTCCGGCTGGTGGGGTTGTAGGTTTGTCTCTATTAATAGCATAAGAAAATTGCATTTTGGTTCTGCTTAATCTCGTTTACATTGACTTATCCAACACAACTAACAGTAGAAGAACAAATATACTTAATTAACACCATCTAAAATTTTAATAGGTTATGGTTTGACCTCTTTTTCCCACGAAGAAAAAATTCCGGTAATTGGTTTTGATATGGGCGGAACAAGCACCGGCAAGTATTGAATCACGTGTCAATTTCACGAAATATTTCTCGAGTTAAATGCATTCATGTTTTTATTTAGATGTATCACGCTATGATGGACGTTTTGAACATGTATTTGAAACCACAACAGCTGGTGTGACTATTCAAGCGCCGCAATTAGATATAAACACAGTAAATTATAATATAAATATTTAAAACAGAAATCAAATTTCTACTATCAACTTATCAATTTGCATATAATCAAGGTAGCTGCTGGAGGTGGGTCACGCTTATTTTTCCGTAACGGAATGTTTGTAGTTGGACCAGAGGTAAATTCTATCTATCAAGTCAATTTCAAGTTGTTACCATTAATTAATTACTAAATCAGAAATCTTTAATCACGTATCAGAGTGCGGGTGCTCACCCCGGGCCTGCTTGCTACAGGTTTGCATGATTTTTTCTCAAGGTGGTTTTTTAAGGCTATCTTTACATGATGTCTATTTTTAGAAAAAATGGTCCTCTTACTGTTACCGACGCCAACCTCATTCTTGGCCGACTGATACCTGAATATTTTCCAAAGATTTTTGGGCCGAATGAGGATTTGCCTCTGGATATTGAGATTACTCGACTACGTTTTGAAGAATTAGCTAAAGAAATCAACGCTTTTGTTGGTAAAGACAAAGAAATGAGTGTAGAAGAGATTGCATTTGGGCAAGTTTTAGAATTTATCGAGCCTAAATTTAGTCAGCTATATTGCTAATAATCTGAAGATTTTTTTACTTTATAGTTTCATTAAAGTCGCAAATGAAAAAATGTGTCGCCCTATACGTAGTTTAACAGAGGCCAAAGGATACGATACTTCGAAACATATTCTTGCATGTTTTGGTGGTGCCGGTGGTCAGCATGCATGTGCAATTGCGCATAATCTTGGCATCAAAAAGATTTTAATTCATCGTCATAGCTCCATATTATCAGCATATGGACTCTCCTTAGCAGATGTAGTCCATGAAACTCAGGAGCCCTGTGCAGAAATTTTCTCCAATGAATCTCTTCCATCACTTCAGAAAAAAATAGGCATATTGACGGATAGTTGCTTTAAAGAACTGAAGTCTCAAGGTTTCGACGATTCTCAAATACTCTTCGAGACTTATTTGAATTTACGATATCAAGGCACTGATTTCGGGCTCATGACTTTAAAACCGTCAAATTCATGGGAGTTTGATAAAGAATTCGCTGAGCAATATAAACAGGAATTTGGTTTTAATTTCCCTGACCGAGAGATTCTTGTGGATGATATTAGAATTCGTGGTATTGGCAGAAGTTTTGAAACTGCAAATGAAAATGTTTTTGAGGAATCTCAAAAAAGACATTTGCCTAATAAGCCACAATCTAGTGGGACATATTCGATTTATTTTGAGGGAGGAAGGGTCGAAACTCCCGTTTATCTATTAGAAAATCTTGAAATTGATGATAAGATTTTTGGTCCGGCAATGATTATTGATGCTAATTCCACGATTCTTGTCACTCCTCAATGTAATGCACTGATAACCTCCTCACATATCGTGATAACGGTTGGAGATGGGACGAGGTCAAAGGTGACCACTGAATTAGACCCAATTCAACTTTCCATTTTTGGACATAGATTTATGAGCATTGCTGAGCAAATGGGGCGAACTTTGCAAAAAACAGCTGTCTCTACAAACATAAAGGAGCGTCTAGATTTTTCTTGTGCACTATTTGGGCCCGATGGAGGACTAGTGGCTAATGGTATGTTTTATCAGTGTTTGACTGTTTATTCCAATCGACTAATGGAATTTAATCCAATGCCCAACATTGAATTGTTATCTAAGAAATTTCGAAAATAATATACATATTTTCTAATATTTTTTTTATTTAGCTCCTCATATACCAGTACATTTGGGCAGTCTAAGTTATGCTGTTAAATTTCAAATGGAATATTATAAAGATGATTTAGAAGACGGCGATGTTATTCTAACCAATCATCCTCAAGCTGGCGGATCACATTTGCCAGGTTAGTAGATAGTAAATGGATTGTATGCTTTAGCCTTTAGCTTCGGCAAAAAATGGCAGATCATGTGATTTTTAAGAGCTAAACCAATCAAATCGCAAGATCAATGTACAACGGAACGATTTATTTTTGAAAATAGCTTTGTTTCTCGAAATTTTGCCTATGAAACTATTATCTGTGCCTAACAAAAAAGGTTCTTTCTATAGATTTTACGTTTGCAATATAATCTTAACATCAACTCTAACCCTAACCTTAATCGAAATGTTATTAGTGTTTATCAATATTTTCATCCAATTTGTATAACTCTTAAAGATCACATGATCTGCAACTTTTTTTTTGTTTACTACATTTGTTTTAAATGATGACTAATTCTTAATTTCTTATTTGTAAGATATTTCGGTGATAACGCCAGTATTTAATGAAGGAAAAATTGTATTTTTTGTTGCGTCTCGAGGACATCATGCTGATATTGGTGGAATTTTGCCTGGTAATTTTATTTTAGTGATATACTATTTTATTATAGTAAATCTTAATTTTAATTCAATCTATTAAACTTTTTAGGTTCGATGCCCCCTCATTCTAAAGAGCTATATCAAGAAGGTGCAGCTGTCAAATCCTTTAAGCTGGTCTCAAAGGGTAAATTTGACATTGATGGACTGACTGACATCCTATTGCGTCAGCCCGCAAAATATCCCGGATGTAGTGGGACGCGATGTCTACGTGATAATGTTTCTGATCTAAAAGCACAAGTAGCCGCCAATCATAAAGGCATCCTGCTTGTTAAAGCATTAATTCAAGAATGTGGGTTAGATGTGGTGCAAGCTTATATGATGTATATTCGCAAGAATGCCGAATTATCCGTACGCGAATTACTTAAAACTGTTCACCGACGTATGGATGGCAAAAAATTGGAAGCTGTTGATTATATGGATGATGGCAGCCCTATTCGACTTCAAATTAATATTAACGAAAAAGAAGGAACTGCAATATTTGATTTTCATGGAACAGGCGCAGAAGTTTATGGTAAGAAATCTATATTTAAAAGAATTCATTCCAAGTGTCTTGGTTAATATTGAATTTTTCGATTGATTAATCAGGCAATACCAACGCCCCTCCTTCGGTAAGTTATCAAATTTATTCATTTAGAGCTTTGCGATCAACTCTATTATGTTCATCTTAATAATTAGGTGACCTATAGCGCCATTATTTATTGCCTACGTTGTCTCATCGCTGAAGAAATTCCATTAAACCAAGGTTGTTTGTCGCCCATTGACGTACGAATCCCACCTAAGTCATTTCTCAATCCATCTGATAAAGCTGCAGTAGTAGGTGGCAATGTGCTGACTTCACAACGGCTTGTAGACGTAATTTTAAAAGCATTTGATGCATGTGCCGCTAGCCAAGGGGATTGTAATAATTTAACATTTGGCAAAGGCGGAAAATCGGAAGATGGAAAAAAAGTTGTGGAAGGTTGGGGTTACTACGAAACGATTGCTGGAGGTTAGTTAATAGAGTTTATAGCTAAAATTAAATTTCTCAAGTTTATTTTAAAATATTTCTTAATTTATAGGAAGTGGAGCCGGTTCTAATTGGGATGGCCAAAGTGGTGTTCATACTGTACATATTAGCAAAGTTCTTGATCAGAATGTAATAAAATCTAACATTATTTTAACATTAGCACATGACAAACACTCGAATAACCGATCCTGAAATTTTGGAGCGGAGATATGATCATGCAATAATTCTTCGTGAATTTTCTTTGCGTAAAGGTAGTAAATCACTTTCTGAAGTACATTATTGATATATAGTTATATAGGTTAACAATACTCGATGATTTAAATTGCTAAAGGTTCGGGAGGTGCGGGTCTACATCGAGGTGGAGATGGCGTCATTCGTGACCTTGAATTCCGTGAACCACTTAAAGTTAGCATATTATCTGAGAGGAGAGTATTTCATCCGTATGGCTTAAAGGGTGGCAAAGATGGCGCATGTGGCTTAAATATTTGGATTCGAAAAGGCGAGAATGGCGATGAACGCGTCCTTAATTTAGGTGGAAAAAATTCCGTCGAAGTTAATCCCGGAGATAGGATTATAATTTGTACTCCTGGTGGTGGTGGATGGGGACCTCCTTCCTCAGATACTAAAGACATGGATATAGTGGATGAAGCAATTAAGAGATATTATGAATAATTTAAATTATTAATCTAATATAATTTCTGAAATTTATGTAATGCGTAACCTGCTCTGAGATATCTCAATTGTTAACCAAGGTAGAATAATCATTAAAAAGTCGATAATCTTTAGATCTCCGCTTTAACATATTTATATTTTTATTATTTTAATATGAAATATAATTTTATAAAAAAATATCTTTAATCAAGTTTTATGCATTTAGAGAAACCAAAAAATAAAGTAGATGCGTGAATATGTAAAAAACAAAGTGCGTCAAGGCTGAAAGCTATCAAAATATATACCTTAAATAAATAAACATTTTCGATTCCTTCCTTCAAAATGTACAATTGATCCTTAGTATTTGGTATATTAAATTCAGTTAAAGTATCAACAACATATAGACCTTCACTTGTTCGATGCATTACATAAATTGTAAATGTTCGCTCTAAGTTTGATAAAAAGATCGTAAGGTTTGCAATAGATTTAATAAAATGCTTAGCTCTAAATGTGTTACTTACGGTAGACGACAATTCCATATGATTCAACAAAGGATACTTGTTGTTCAGTAACCCCACGTGATAAATAGTGTTGACGTTGATAATGAATAGAAATTTGCATACACTTCAACACTTTTTCAGTGTCATTGTTTAATTTTTTGATATCAGCGTAGAGGGCATTGCCGATAACCTCTAAGAATCCTACTTCTAAAACAACAGCATTTACGTTAATTGAATATATCCCATCTTGGGAACATCCAATGCTAACCCGTTGCTTATATTGTCTAGTTTCATTTCTCTGCGTTTTGTTTGACAAATTTTCTACCTCCCCTCTGTGCAAAGACAACCAGTTAGCGATTAAAGGAATAGATAACAAATAATAATGGCAGATCAGATACTTACGTTTTTACCTTGATTAAATCCATGATGTCGTCAAAAACTTTAACAATAATGGGATTTACAAAATTTTCTCGATAAGAAAGTTCACATTGATCCGGATCCAATAGTAAGTTGGTGGGTGCATCGAAAAGAAATAGACTAAAATAGATGGCATAAACTTAAATGTCACAAATGGAAATGACAATAATCACAAATATTTATACTCACAATCGTTTATAAATATCCTGTACCCATATAAGATCATAATGTTCTTTATGAATAAATTTTCCGGTATATGGTTTTTCAAGAACGACCTCAATAGTATCACTCAAGGAAATTACATCGAATACGGATTTACTTTCTAAATGAGATTGGTACTTTTGTACAAGGGGATTTATAATTTTTTTCCATTTTTCAAGACGGATTGTTTTTGATTGATCAGATGGCTCTAACTATAAAGGATAAGCAAAATTATTAAAATTTCACTGAAATATTAAGCTTACAAACAGACAATGTAATACCGAGTTCCAAATATCCTTTAGGGTATGTTTTTCAGAACTTGATAATTTATTAACGGGATTTGTGATATTTCGCTCCGAAAGGTTGATGATTCTGTAATCAAATAATCGGTAGTTAATGGATTTTAATTTTTCGATTATTTTGTAGACATCTTCCGTCACATTCTGCGGAGTCTGAAAATAGAACATAGATCAGATGGGTATGCTACAATTTTAAAATTGTGTAAATGAGCGTTATTACCTCTTGAGATAAAAGATATATATCTTCATTAGCAATATTGTCAATTTCATTATTGACCTCTCCGTGATTTTTTCCATTATCCAAATCAGAGGACTCATCGTAAACATATGATTCATTGTTATTGCACTGTTGTGATTTATTTTCGCATTAAGAAAATATCAAAAGTAATAAGACAGTATTACGAGATAGAATATAATTACTTCCTGGACCGAATGAGGGTAAGCATTTCGCGAATAGATTTGATGTGGCGGAGTACAGGGTCGAAACCAATCTTCAATTTTTGCTCTTTTGGGAACTTTATTATAGTCCTAAAGATTAAAATTGTAGATGGATTAGAAACAAATACAAATAATAGTTATAGCCAAATAATGCGTACCTGATTTTCAGGAACTGGAGCCTCTCTCTTTGAAGATTCAACAATGAGCCCATTTATAGTTCCAGATGTCCCGCCACTTATAGTTCCAATACCTTGGCCAACGAATGTCGGATTATAGAGATGGACTTGTTTCTTGGTATGCTCTGACTTCCAGTTTCGCGCAATTTTGTAGTCGGGTTTAGGATCCTAACATATAAAAGATGTTATTTGAATATTTTGACAACCAACTCAATTATCTATAACCCCATAATTTCCTTAACCCCATGCTGTTGGATCAGCTTAGGAACCTTGAACATCAAACAACCTCAGGGAATTGTTTGAGCTCCAACAGGGCCGGTACCGAGTCAGCTTAGGAACCTTGAACACAGTAGACCTCAGGGAGCCACCTGTGCCTCAATACCGCCGGTGACAAAAAACCTCAGGGAATCCTTTGCCACCTATTTTCCACCCCCAAAAACCCAGTACTTGCCTTTTTATATCGATCGAGTAAAGCTTTGGCTTTTTTACTTCTGAGTCCTTCTCTTTAGATATAGTTTCAAGACATGAAATATAATATGATATATTCTCATCGAATTCATTGAACTGTCTCTCTTCACATTCGCTCAAGAATCCCACAATATTCCATTCGGAACATGGACGTTCGAAGTATTTTTTCGACATGGCTAATAGGTTATCATTCATGCTCGCGAATTTCTGTCATAAAATATCACGAGACAAAGAATCATCATCAACTGTACTACTATTACCATATGCAGAAGCCAGAAAAATTACAGTCATCCCTCGTTTATATCCCCACCTTGGGCGGAGACTTCTTGGGGATATATCTGAAGCGGGGATATACCTAAAATGGTAATTAAGTAGCACGGCGTAATTTTATTGGCTAATTAATATATTCTGTTAACAGAGTTTGGCGGTTTGATTTTTCCCCAACTCATCTAAACGTCTGATATATATCTTATGTCCTCTTCGATCGTAAATTCCCTTTGTCTTAGCAGTCTCGAGCACTTGCCTTCCCACCTGATCGAAAAATGAAATGCTATGACTTGATCTTTATTTTTGTAAAATTAGTGTTTGTGTTATTTCGTAAAGTCAACCCGCACGCAAAGCCTTACAACGAAGTTCTGGTGAAATGAGCATTTAAGGAAAGCACAGTACGATTTAAGAAATCGACGAGCCACATAGAAATGACACGATGTTTTTGTAACACAAATAACATATATGGAAAATGGTGATATAAATGAGTCATGATCATATGAAATTTTATAAGATATGAGAAATTGGGATAGTGGGATATTGGGGATAGGGATATATCTGAGTGGGATACAACTGAGGGAAATTTATATGGAATTAAAATAGAGGAAATCCATCCAGCATCAAAGATGGGTTATATCCGAGGGTGGGATACAATTAGGGTGGGGGGATACAAATGAGGGATGACTGTAATTAATTCTGAAATCTATGGCGGGCAATGTTGTATGTATATTGAACTCGATCAGATCCTTCAATCTGAATAATTATATTTTTCTGAACACGAAATTAAGGTATGAATATTTCGGGCTTGCAAACTAATGAATATTCTTTCAGTTGTGACGGTGCATTTCGGATTTATTAGTATCACAGAAGGCAGGCAACATAAACTTTCAGCGGATTTTTGATAAGATTAATACCTTTTTTGTCACTGCACGTTTTGTATGGGTATAACTTTTATTCTATCCAGAATGTTGGGCCGTAATTATTATTGAGATATTGAGTTAGCATAGATAGTTCAGACAATAGTGTAGGCGATAGTATAGAAACAATAAATATATTTGATTCTTTTCGTTTTATTACAATCAATAAGGCAAAAGGTTGGTGCAATTTAAACCAATATTTTTTTAATGAAATTTAACTTTTGAATATAACTGCATTTTATGTAAAACAATGCAAAACATTCATTGAAAGAGTTAAATCTTAATCTTGTTCACCAAATTGATGAACTCAGAAAGGAGAATGCTGAATTCAAGGCTGAAAACACTAGATTGAAGCAAGCTATAGAAGAAAATGCAGTGCTCAAGATCCGATTCAAAGAGCTAGAAAAGAAAAATAAAACAGATACTGCCAAGCTCACTGCTGAGAATGCAGAACTTAAAGAAAGAGTCACGAAATTGAAACAGAAACAAACCCGAGACATCACTAATGAGCAAGATGTATCTCCTATAAAAGATATTTTGCAGTCGCCAGCTTGTTCAGAATTATCAGTAAGTATCCAGATCCAGGTACAAAGTACTATTTCTTCCAGAATAAAAGATGAGCCAAAGGGATTATTGTCCATTCTGCCACCTATCGAGGGTCATTCTGGAGAAGAGAAAAATATCACTTCTAATTGCTTACCTGAACAAGAAAATAGCTTGACAATATCTGAATCTCTAGCAGAATCTGAAACATCTGCAACTTCTTTATCACAAGACATTATTAATGATAATTCAACTGAGATACTTGAATTTGTAGAAATTATAAATAGAGAAAAGATTAGTAATGAAATAAGAGAAAGAAATAGAAAAAAGAAACTTCAAAGTCAAGAATCAATGCAAAGTATATCTTTCTCTTCTGATATACAAAATGAGATAAATTTTATTATCAGTATTCATGAGCATATTCAATCAGAATCAATATTTACTAATCAAGCACAAAATATTAAAATCAAAATTTCATATAATAAAAAAGTAGAACAAGACTTAAGATATAAGTTATCTATATATATTAAAGAAAATAATAATAAAATTAGTAATATATTTAATATATAAATTTTCAAATTTCTGTTAAAATTATAATAGAATCTAATAAAATTATAATACAAAATATAGCTAATTTATTTATGATAGCCATAAAAGTTAGATAAAAAGAGATTTTATATTGATATTATTATTATAAAATATATGAAAATCAAATTAAAGATATTAAGTATATAAATAAAATTAATAATTAATCAGTAAGAATATTAGTATTATTACCATTTTAAGATTATACGTATATAATTATTTTAAAATGATAATAGTAACTGTATTCATAGCAGTTATTTACTTTTATAGCTTTAAGAGATTATATGACTGATTATTCTTTTAATAAGATGATGTATATAAGGCTTATTTTTAATAAAAATATGATTATCTTCTCAATAAGATAATTTATATATGTTTTACTTATAATAAAAATATGATTATCTTCTCAATAAGATAATATACATAAATTTACTTTTAACAAAATACTCTTTCAATAGAGTAAGAAGAAAATAAGATAAGATATAAGATAAAATATATGTGTTTATTAAAGAAAAATACTAATTAACT